CCAGACATGGTAAGTGAGGGCTCTGGGGAAGAGAAATGATTATGGAAGGGGAACATCAGAGTGAGGGGCTAGGCTCTAGGTGCTTCTACCTTCAAACTAGAAACTGACTGATCCTTTGTTCGTTCTTAGGTTCCTCTGGGGCATCACAAAGAACAGTATTTCTCGGGCTCCAAGACCAAAGCTGTACTAAACCAATTCCATACAGATCTGGAAAACTGGGAGAGGGAAATGACAGCCCGCAATGAGCAACTTGACCTTGCCTACGAATACTTAAGGCCCAGCCACATAGAGAACAGTATCACTATCTGAGCTCTATGGTGCCCCCACCTGGAAAACTTCAGCGCTCCAAAATAAATTCTCTACATCAGTATCCTACTAGGGTGGTGGTAGTGGGGAGAGTGGGGTGCTAGGCGAGAGAGGGAGGCAGCAAACCTTTTCTGTAAAAGGCCAAATAAAAATTGTATGGTTTGTAGGCCACACAGACTCTGTCACTACTCAACTCCCAGTGTAGCAAATGGGACAATATGAAACTGAATGAGTGTGAATGTGTTCCAATAAAACTTTATTCATGGGCAGTGAAATGTGAACTTCACGTGTCACAAAACATTCTTCTTTTGTTTTACAACATTTAAAAATACAAAAGCAAAACAAAACTAACACCCCTGTGGTTTGCTAGAGACGTGGACGGGCTGAATGTGGCGCTCAGGGGCAGCACCTGGACAAGGCTGCCTGATCTGGCCTGAGGCACTGACCCTACTTGCAAACATCCAGAGAATGCTCAGGGGCGGGTGGGGAGATTTCTTGGAGAAATGAACTACCTCAACTAATTCTCCTTTCCCTGGAGCTAGACTTCATGCTTGGTGGGCAACTTAAAAATTCCTGATTCTGTTCTTTCCCAACTTCCCCTCCGCCGCTATTCACACAGCTACCCCCAAAAGTCCTGGAATAGGACAGGTGCTCCTAGAGCAGACTAAAATCTGTTGGTTTCCTTCCCCAAATAGTCTCAAACAAAGGAGACATGAAATTCATGTCTCAAGGCCATTTTCCCAGTCCCTTTAGTACACTGCAGTCACTGCCTGTGATCCAGGTTCTTTGTTCTCTCTCATTACCCTTTTCAGAACAATATGCACAAAATAAGTGAAAAAGTACCACAAAATTATGCTAAGCACGGTTTGTTTGTCGCGGGTTCAGAATGACCCCTCTCAACCATGCTTTGATCACTGTCTTCACTAGGCTGGGTACGAGCTCAGAACAGAACTGTGTTCTTCAAACATGCATTCCCCTGGGTGATTATTACAAACCTGCCTCTTAACCAGTGAAGTATACAAGCTTTTTCTTGGGAGTGAATGACTTCCTCATATTTTTAAAGTCGTGACCCCCTACCTTATCCAAAGGGCCTATCATCCGTTTCCTTAGTTTGCAGTAGGGAAGCAAAGGGATGTTTTGTGTATTATTTTTCTCCAGTACATTTAGCAGGACCACTCACCCTCACAACCTACCCACAGTCTACTTTCCCTCGGCTTTTCCTGACGCCCATATTTTTCCTGGATTTGGCATCCAAAACCTCAGTATTCCATGTTTGGTAGCAAACGTCACTCAAGACGTCTCCGCAATTTGTAAGCGTTCTGCCCGCAAGTCGTCCGCTCGACCTCAGGAAGGGTCTCATGACCTTGTACTGCGCCGGATTCTCTCTTTTTAAGGGTAGGGATGCGCGGGGAAACGGGCGTCCTCTCTCGGAACTTCTATGTCCCCCACAGGAGAGATACCACCCGAAAGTACAGCATCTGAGGGGGCAAGTCCGTTCCAATCCCCCGCTACAGGGAGCCCACCTCCAAGGTGACCAGGAGCTCCGCGACCTAGACGCCTTCCCCAAAAACCAGCCGCTGGGGGCTCCTCGTCATGTGACCTGCCAAACCGGATCACGTGACGTTCCGGCTCCTTCCATTGCAACCTGGAGGGGGGGGGGACCAGAAAACGTTAGGCACTTGCCCTTCCCATACTCGCGCCCCGGATACATGGGTCCGTGAGAGACTCTGGGGAGCAGCGTGGTGTCCGACGCCGCCTTTGGCCACCAACGCCTGGAGGACAGCCCTCACCGCTCCGGCGCCTCGGGCATTCCCTTCACTGCCTCTCCGCTCGGCCCCGATCTCGGCGCCCCCCGACTTCCGTCTTCATGGTGTCGCTTCTGTGCTGTGGGCCCAAGCTGGCCGCCTGCGGCATCGTCCTCAGCGCCTGGGGAGTGATCATGTTGGTGAGGGGCCGGCCTGCGAGGACTGGAGAGGACCTGGGGGCTGGGAGGCTGGGAGGCTCCAGGCCTTAGAAAGCAGCAGCAGGCGGGGTGAGGTGTGTGTGTGTGGCGGGGGGTTCGTCTTTGGGGAACAAGACAGAACTGAGATTGAGAAATAGGGAACTAGAATGGGGCGGGCCGTGGAGGAGGGAGCTGGGAGGGGAGCCCGGGCTGGTAAATCTGGTAAGAGGAGGACGCGCTGGGCTCCTGAGAGATGCCTAAACCGAATTTCGCTCCCGACGTGTGTAGCTGGGGCCTTGTTTGCCCAGGACTCTGCCCGCCCCACTCCAGGAGGAAGTAACACCTGCCGATCCCCCGGGATCCCTTCTGCCCTGTCCCGTGATAATGACGCCTCTGAAGAGGGGAATGGCCCGGGTGGCTGGGTTGCTCACCGTTTCTGCCCTATCCCCAGCCCTGGCGTCTCTGTCACCACCTCATGCTCTGTTCCAGGCGACTGAGTGCGACTCTGGCAACAGCTACGTCCACTCCCAGCGCATTCTGTTCATTCCCAAACCCAGATGTTGTGGCAACATGAGACGTGGAAGGGGTTTAGGGAGTGACCCGCGCAGATGCCTGAGGTCAAAACCTACCGGTTCCGTTTCAGATAATGCTCGGGATCTTTTTTAACGTCCATTCGGCCGTGCTCATTGAGGACGTTCCCTTCACGGAGAAAGATTTTGAGTAAGTGTCGCGTGGGAGAGGCTGGGGGAGGGGGAGAGGGCGGAGCCTGTGGCGGGGGGTTTCAGGAGGCTGGATACCTGGGATGCCTGGGGCCCAGTGGCTAGGACAGCGGGTGCGGAGAACTGCTCTCTTTATTTTTTTTTTGATTTTTTTAAAAATATATTTTTATTGATTTAAGAGAGGAAGGGAGAGAAAGAGAGAGAGAGAGAAACATCAATGATGAGAATCATTGACTGGCCGCCTCCTGCATGGCCTCTACTGGGGATCCAGCCCCTAATCTTGGCATGTGCCCTGACAGGGAACCCAACCCTGACCTAAGAGCCTCACCAGTGAGCCACACCGGCCTGGCAGCCTGACGAGTCTCTATTGTTTTAAGCCCCCTGGTTGGTGGTCACTGTTACAGAAGCCCCAGCAACAGACAAGAGGTCAGCGGGAAACGGAGTCAGGACGGTCCTGTGCCTCACCGCCCAGGGCCCCCGCAGGCCTCTGAGGGGGAAATGCTTGGAGGACCCTAGTGGGCCACAATCACTGCAGGCTGAGTGGGCAGCGACTGCAAAGGAGAGGCAT